TAGTGTGATAGGCTCAAAATTGTGTAAACCTATGATTATGCAAGTATATATACAGGTCGTATCAAGTATTAGTGATAAATAGATTATTGTTTCTATAAGAAGACTGGTGTAATGATCGATCTCATGTGTGTGTGTGTGTGTGTGTGTGTGTCTCAAGACAGAAAGCAAATGAACTGAAAATGCAGCCATGGTTTTATATTTCAGATACTCGAGCAAATATGGCAGTGCCTGTAACAAGGACAATGTTCAGAATAGAGATTGCCCAGAATAGGATATATGAGATAGAAATGGCGAAAAGATGAAAACAGAAAGACGAAAGCAGAGGGAAATTCAATAAGAGGGAAGATCACATACGTCCCATTTAGTAAGAAACATTGAAAATCACGGGTAAGGATTATGATTGTGATTGAAAAAAATTTAGTACAAGGGATTAATTATCACTTGAAATTGGGTAACCCGGAATAGGAGAATACCATAAGGACAATCCCAAGTAACAAACAATTCCTTCATATTAAACACTTTTAATGAGTTATTTTGATTCCGATCTTAATCTTTACTCCTCATTTTCAATTCTTCATACTAAACTGGACCACAATTCTTTTCACCCATCCTGTAACCAATCTCATTCTTATAATATTGTCTTATCGGACCCTTTCTCACCTTGCCATCTTAGCCTTGGCTTGGGCTCTCTTTTGGGCCGTCATCTGAGCCCAATCCCAATCTCTCTGGGATTATGACAACTTGTTATCAACAATTTCTCTGTGGTCACCAACAAAGATTGGGTCTAACAGAAAGGATTTATTTTTCACAACATTGCGAGTCAAGATTTGAATCCTTGTTGAGAGAGATACTTACATTTAGTACTTGATAATGTTTCGAATAAAATTGTTTCTAATAATAAGATACCTGTAGTTGGGGGGAGATTCCACTCAGGTCATAATCAATGGTTAGATACGTCTGAGAGTCCAATTTTCTACAGTTCTTGTTGAATTCATGCTCTCCGGTTTGCTCTGCCACGCTTTGAATGGAAAATTCCAAATGGACTAAGACAAAATAACTTAATTTTGTCCTAGCGTGAGAGAGGAAAAGTCGACCTTTGCTTGATAGACGACTAAGACTTTTCTGATTAAATACAGTTGAGCGATTCCCAATCTAACTTTTATATCTCATATTTAATTAATATGTTTGATTATATCCAATATTTTAATTATTTCATATTCTTGAAATGGGCTGAGAAAGCATCGTAATATAGAAAAAAAAATGATATTTTAGTAATAAACCCTAATTGGGTCTGATCAAAACTGTCCTCTAAAACTTCCCGTGCTTGTTATGACTGAAATAAGGTAAAAATATTATTCACAAAAAAAAAAGGGTAAAAATATTTTTAATTGAATAATTCTGATTTAAGCTGCACCGAATTCCAAATGAAAGAAAGTTCTAGGAATTTAATTGATAAAAATTAAACTTCATGAACCGAATTGATAACTGACGAAGACTTGAAGCACCAAAAGTTTTATTAGTGCATGCCGGAGACTTGGAGCACCAAAGCTTTGTGAACCGAATTGATAACTAACCGAATTGACTGCTCTGTTTTTCTTTTTTTGGTGGCCATCGACTGCCCTGTTTCTATTAGTGCTTGCCTTTGATTAGATTAAATTAATCAATCTTCAAGACGAGTATCACTCCATTCAATTCTAAATATAAAAATTAATTACAGATTTTATTTTGATCCTAAATATAACATTTTAATTTTATTTGTCTCTCTCTTTTTTTTCAAACTGTCATTTTATTTAGATTCTTGTATAATATATAAACTATGTGAAGAAATATTTTAGAAAAATTAACATATATTTTTTACAAATAAATAATTTATATATTTTTTAATATGTATAAATTAGTTAACTAATTTCTATATTTAGAATTGCAGAGAGTACATCATTATCATTACGGAAACTTATCGTTTTGTCTTTCTACTTTCAGTGACTTGCGATGGACCCAATACAAAGGACAAAGTTGATGGCGGATCTAACATTAATGTAACATATTATCCTTCATTTCATGTATCTCTGTCTAGATTTAAGTCCAATATGGCAAATAATTTTCATTAAAAATTATCGTAATAATAATAATAAGATGGTGAATTGTATTAAATGCATATATTAGAGGAGAACAAAGAGAGAATAAAGAAGATGTTAGACGAAGTTGAACTTTCTGTATCAAGTTATATATGACATAGCTTGGGTGGCAATGATACTATCACCTTATTCTCCAGAAGCTCCACGAGTTGTTCACCAAAGACTCTCTTTTATCAACATTGGCTTGTGTTCTTGCTCTTAAGCAATTAATGAGGTGTTGGTGAACAGAAAACTAACAGATGTATTGTATGTAATACAATAATCATCTTTATCTGTTTTTGTTATAGAAGTGTCTCTGAACCAACTCAATATGTGTATAGTTAAGTAATGGGAGATATATATATATATATCATGTTGTGTTGTCGAAGGATTTTAATATATTGAGTCAAACATTGCTTCCGCTTTGGATGATAAGCAACATTCTCCAATTGGATTTGATATTATCTTCTCGTTTACTTGAGCAAGCCTAAAACTTGGATCTCGATTTTCCTCTTGGAGGAAGGCGTTTAGAGACATTCATCCAAAAGAGAGAATTGGAGATCCAAAGGTACCATTCATAGACAATAATTAATATGCTTCTTTAGCATCTCTTAATTAAGTAGCTATGGCATTTTGCAGAGTTTTTCATACATGGTTCACATATAGATTGCATTTTCCACAACATCATAATGTAGAACTATTCACAAGGTGTGTTTGTTCTTTTTTTCCCCAAATCCATCATATTGAGGAATCTGAAAGAAAAAATTACACTTGAGCTCTTTCGTGTATCGTTGTTGCGGTGGTTTGGGAAGCAAGTCAGAAGGATGGAAAGCATATATGGCATATATTTCAGAAGGATTAGGGAATTCACAGAATTGGGAAATGGCTATGAAGTTTCAAAGAAAAAACGGCTCTTTATTTAACTCTCCGGCCACCGCTGCATCGGCGTATGCTCATATTAACAATACACATTGTCTTGATTATCTATTTTCACTGTAAGATAAATTTGGAAATGCTAGTAATTGATTCCTCCTTTTTGCAAACTTTGATGGATTTGTCTTCTTCTATGTGACAATTATTAGGTTTTCAAACTAATGTTTGCTTATATATTTATATATATATATATATATATATATGAATCTATGCTTTATTCAGTTCTAACAGTACATCCTTTAGATGTGTTTGCTTGACTCCATATGGTTGATAGTTTTGAAAAGTTAGGTATCGATCATGATTTTAAGGATGAAATTGGAAGTGTATTGGAGGAAACATGGAGGTAATTAACTTAACTTTGTGTATTTCAAAAGCAGGAAATTGACAAAATAAATTTATTGTGGGAACCAAGAAGGCTACAAAATTTAATCTCATTTTCTATTTGATTATGAAACAGAATGTGGCAACGAGAAGAAGACGATATATTTTTAGAACCCACCACCTGTGTCATGGCATTTCGTTTACTACGTTTGCGTGGATACAATACTTCTTCAGGTTTGTATGTCCTTTTCAATTCTATATATATGTAGCTGAAAAGGAATCAAACAAAAATAGCCAAATCTGATATGATGATATGTGTACTATTACTTTTAATTTTCAGATGCACTTGATCGGTTCTCAGAAGACAGATTATTACAATTCCCTTCAGGGTTATTTGAGGGATGTTGAGGCTGTTTTGGAGTTACATAAGGCTTCTCACATAGTTTTGCATTCAGGTGATTCAGTTTTGGAGGAACTAAACTCCTGGACACAACACTTCCTTGGGGAATATTTGTTCCCTTCCTCAAAAAATACTAATAAGCTACCTTTTAATCATATTGACCATGAGGTATCCATATATATTAAACTCGCAAATTCAATTTTGGTTTCAACTTTCTATGATATTCTAAAGTCCCATCTCAGTAAGATAAGCTCAAAAATCATTTCATATGGTAATTTTAGGTACCTTTTACAATGCATTTTTCTCATCTTGCTTATTTGGAATTTCTTCTTAAACCGAAGCTCTATAGAGCATTACGACGCCCATCAAAAGAGAATTTCGAAATCTTGATATTGCTACGTACATCATATTATGAATCTACTCTATTTTTCATGCGAGCTTCCTGAAATTGCATGCTCACTTTGTATGTTATGGCTTTCTTGTTCAGGTCTATGAATCTCACAAATAAAGAATTCCTCAAATTGGGAGCGGACGATATCAATCACTCTCAATTATTATTCGTGAAGAGCTCAACCTGTTCAACAAGTGAGTATATTTTCAAAAACTCAGAACCTATGAAAACTAAGATTCAATTTGTGTTAGCTTTTTCATCCTAATCTAACGCCATTCTTCAAATAACTAATAAGTTTATCATAATAATCAGGTGGTTTATGGAGAGTGGATTGGAGAAAATGTTTGGGGTACTAAAGACGAACACATAAACCTTATTCAGAAGATGGAGAAGTACGACCTTTGTAATAATTACACCCATATAAATTAAATATAATGTCGCTTTCTCTCTGCATAATACATATAAATTACACAGAAAGATTGTGTTTGGATCATTGAATTTCAAGGTGGTATGTAGATGTCGACAAAGAAAGTTGCTTTGAGACGATGAAGATAATATTCTCAGCACTAAAGAAAACAACTAATGAAATTGCAGGCGAGGCATATAAAGTTCAAGGACGAAGTGTGTTGAACCACTTGATTTAAATTGTAAGATCATAATTATCTCATCCTTGTTTTCTTCGTTAATTTCATCATCACACTAATAAACTCCATTAAGTAAATATATTTACATGTTTATTAACATATATTTATTTATTCGATCTGAGTTAAAAGAGGCAGAATGGTGAAGAAACAAGTGTGTGCCAAGTATAGAAGAATATGAGCGTAATGGAATCATGTCAATGGCCTTGGGACCAATTATCATTCCTATAATGTATCTTATTGGACTTAAGCTTCCACAACCTGTCATTGAAAGTGATGAATACAATTACCTCTTTGAGGTTGTGAATCTTTATGGGCGATACCTCAATGATGTCAATGGCTACCAGGTAAAGATGAGTCTTTTCCTTCCTCTTAATATTGTTTTTGAGTTTTCCTAAGTTGTAAGTGAATAAGATCATTGCATGTGTTTTTGCAGAGAGAAAGGGAACAAGGGAAATTTATCAACTCCATAAGACTGCGTTTGATTCATGGGCGTGGGGAAGAAAGTGAAGAAGAGATCATAAAGAAGATACAGAATGAAATAGAGGAGAAGAGAAAGGAGCTGCTGAGAATAGTGTTAAAAAAAGAAGGAAGCAAAGTGGCAAGAAAGGTAAGAAATGTGTATTAGAAAATGAGAAGATCACTTAACATATAAGATGTGATTCATGCAAGGAGATGCCAAATGAGCTAGTCAACATCAGAGATGTAGTTCGCAACAATCCCATTACTTCAGAATTTTCAATTCTCTCTCATTTGATTGGAAATAATTTCCAAAGAACAATAATAGCCTAAATACGTATGTTTATATATATCTTTGGCCCCTTAAATTTTATACAAACCCAATTAGTAGTTTAATATGTATCGTTTTATTTTTTTCCTAAATAAAATTGACTTTTAAGAAAAAATTACATTACATTGTGTTATTTTAATATTGGCCTCTCTCGGCTATAAATCCTGGTCATGCCCTCCTCAAGTGTTCAATATGACTGAAATAACTAATAAGGCCCCAAAAAACTTTTTTTTTAGTTGACTGATTCTGATTTAAGTTGCTCCGAATAAAATTTTCAGGAAAATACATGGAGATTTTGACGTTAAAAAAATAGCGCTTAGCATTGTTTTTGGGCCCATCATAATTCCTTTTCGGCCTATTAAATAATACCAGTAAGTTTTTTCATAGCGGTAACAGCTAAATAAGCCCCCAAAAAACAAAGTTACACGCACAAACAGTTACTGATATGGCCATGTGATGAATACTGAGGATTAGGCAATAATTAAAATGGAAAACACACACACACACACACACACACACATTTCTAAGTTCTATTCAAGAGGACCGACTAATATACTGCAAGATAAACAAAATATTGTGATAAAACTTAGATATATATATATATGGATGTCAACGTCGTGGTATGTTTTTGAAATTATTTTTTTCTCTTTGGTCACATAATTTAAGATTAACAATTTGGTCGATCATGTTTAACACGCATGACAGAAGAAGAATAACTAATATAGTTGGCCTTGAAGACTATTTAAAATATATGGAAGTAGAATTTTTTTAATAAAAAAACAATTAAAATAAGCTATAGAAAATAACCATACAAATAAGGAGAGAGTGATGATAAGTATCAACCCATTTTTTAGTTAATAATTAAATATAATTGCGCTGTAGCACTGGATGAACTGATGTTAAAAATAACAGACACAGACCATAGGGAGTGTATTTAATCATTGATAGTTGAAATTTATGCAATAAAATTGTTCTTTAAATTGAATACATGGTAAATTTTTTTTTTACCTGAAGAATACACGGTAATAAGATTTTATATAATTAGCTACTACCTCTCATCCAGCATCAGGGATCAGATTTGATACCAAATATATGATCTCAATCCATTTTATCTCCAAAATTTATAATTCATTCTCTGAAATATTCATATTGATTATACATATCAGGAGGGCTTCCATCCAAGAGTAATCATGATTAAAATGATATACTTTAAATTGAATACACGGTAATTTTTTTTTACCTGAAGAATACACTGTAATAAGATTTTATATAATTAGCTACTTGATGAGAGTCTTTGTCATTCGCCTTGGGGTTCCCAATCAAAAATAAATCCAAGCAATGCAATATAGTGCAAAACTCGGGTCGTTTCACTTTAAGAAGCCTTTATTTGAAATCCTAAGCAACTAAGTATCAAAAACAAAGAATTGAGTTGGAAAGGGATTGATTTTCTTTTTAACTAATTAATTGGCAAAATTTAAAAGGATGTAAAATGAGTAAATAATTTTTGGATTTTTAGTTTATAAAATGGATATGAATGAAATAAACAAAGAGAGTTAACAAGTGACAGAAAAGCAATCCTCTAGCACAATGATTTAGGCTATCATTACTTCAATTAATTTGGGAGTTAGCTAAATTCAAAAGACTCTAAGGGCCACCCCTTAGACTCGGTTTAATTAGAATAATCAACACCAAGCCACCTTGCATATTAATTACTCACAATTAAACTGTTTCAGCACAATTAGCCAAAAAGAATCAAGGAAAAGCAATTAACATTTTTAGTCCAATAACCAAGTCACCTTGAATTAACACTGAATATTCACAATAATTTCAAAACATAGTCTGACCCAGTACAATGTAAAAAAATTAAAGCTAATCACAGCATAATGTTAAATGCTAATCAAAGATTCCAGCAGCTACAACCAATCTCAATACAAATATAAATCATCACAGCACATTCAAACATTATAAAATTCATTCTAAGACCTAGAAATCACAATTACAATGTAGGAAATAAAGATTGGAAGAGCTGAAACTCCCCTTTGAAGCTCCAAGTTCAAGCCATAAACACTGTTCTAGAGAATTAGAGGATTTAGCTACTCTTAACCATCACAACCACAGCTCCAACAAACCAATTCGGTTCAGCCATGAAGAACAAAGAAGATGAATAATGTTGGGGGTGTGATTTCGCTGTGGAAGCTCACGCTGAATCCTCTTCCTTCACGCCGCTGGTTTGCTGTTTCTGTTTGTTCTTCCTCTTTTCTTTTTCTTCCGCCGCCAACTCGTGTGCCTCTCGTGTGCGCCTCCTCTTCCGCCAATGAAGATGATGAATGAATTGAATAATTTAGGGGGAGCAAAACGCAACGTTTGCTCCCTCTTTTTATTATTATTATTTTTAATTTATTTTTTTATTATTTTTTATTTCTTTTTTTTTAATTTCTATTTTTAAATCTTCCAAAAACCTGGAAACAAAATTTAAGGATAAGATAGCATTAATTGTCCTTAAAAATTAATTAATCATAATTAAACTAAAATATGACAATTTTGCCCCTAAAAATTAATAATTCAAAATAAAATATATTAAATCAATTAACAATTAATTAAGACAAAAAAGGACCAATTAAGTTGACAAAACCCATATAAAAGATATCAAAATATATAAAAATAATTGAGTTTGTCACTACTACCTCTCATCCAGCATCAGGGATCAGATTTGATACCAAATATGATCTCAATCCATTTTATCTCCCAAATTTATAATTCATTCTCTAAAATATCCATATTGATTATACATATCAGGAGCTAGGGTTTCCATCCAAGAGTAATCATGATTAAAATGACATACTTTAAGACAATCAACTTACATTTCTTACAAATAACTAACTTAATTAACTTCTATAATCTATCCAAATTAGTTAAGTAGCTCTTACTTTAAGCATTGAACTTTGTGATGCACAGTAGGAGTGGGACCACCCCACATCACTCACATGCAACTGTTTGTGTGTATGACAAACTCAATTATTTTTATGTATTTTGATATCTTTTATATGGGTTTTGTCAACTTAATTAGTCCCTTTTGATCTTAATTGATTGTTAATTGATTTAATATGTTTTATTTTGAATTATTATTTTATAAGGGCAAAATTGTCATATTTTGATTTAATTATGATTAATTGATTTTTAAGGACAATTAATGCTACCTTATTCTTAAATTTTGATTGTAGGTTTTTGGAAGATTTAAAAATTAAAAAAAAGAAGAAGAAAAGAAAAAAAAAAAAAAAGAAAATAATAATAATAAAAAGGGGGGAGCAAAACGTCATCCCTAATATCCAATAATCATCATCATCATCTTCGGAAGAGGAGGACGCGAGGGACGGTGCTGAGAGGAAAAAAAACAGAGAGTGATAGCAGACGCGAGAGAGATGGGAGCAACAAGAACAGAATAGAGCGAAGTGTGGCCGACGGCACCAGAGGAGTGAGCGACGGCAGAGGGGGAACCTCCCTTCATCACCATCGTCTTCATCTTCTTCTTCTTCTCAGCACGACAACAGAACCAGAGGCGAGTAGGAGGACCAGTGGAGTCGACGGCTTGAACGAGAACCAGAGAAGCTCGACGGTTTTCTTCACTCCTCCTTCAATATTCTTCATGGCTGGATATGGTAGACTGCTGGAGGTGGTATTTTTTATGGCAAACCGTGGCTAGCTTCATAATTCTCTAATTCAACAATAATGGTAGGAGCTCGGATCATCAAAGGGGAGTTTAGTTACTTTAATTTTCTGTCTAATCATTGTTTAACAATTCCTAAGTCTTAGGATAGTTACTGTGATTATTAGAAAATTTTCATTGTTTAATTTGATTATATTTGAAGATTATTGTGACTGGATTATTGTTTAGCATTTGACATTGGGCTGTTTATAGCTTTAATTTCAATTTTATTGTTGTGGTTATGACATTTGTATTGATTTTAGAGTTAATATATTGTGATTTTCTGAGGTGGCTTAGAATCTTAGATCATATTGTCTCTTGCTATCTTTAATTCTATTGTTTTGGATTTAAGAGTTCTAATTAAGCATTGGTTTTTTTAGCATCTTTAATCCCATTTTACTATTCTGGTTGCAGTTAGTAAGTTGGGATTTTAGGAAAATATTTTGTGGCAATTCGAGGTTGTTGGATTAAAAGCTTAATTAATTCATTATTTTAACTCCCGTATCTTTTAGAGTAAGGATTGTCTGCGTTGTTGAATTAGAGGATTGATTATTATCATTGTTATTTGTGTGTTTCATTTTCATTTCTTTAATCTTCATTCATTTTAATCATTTTTATATAAAAACCAAAAAAGTATTTTAATTCCAATTTAATTCATGGTGTTTAATTAGAAATTATCAAATCAAAAATCCTTTTTATAGTTTAGGTTACTTGCATTTATTTACTAGGATTTAATTTCATTTTCGGCTCCTCAAAGTGAATACGACCTGGATTGTGCACTATATTTCATTAATTCAGTTAATTTTTGGAGTAACCCTAAAGCGACAAATTAAGGGCAATTATCTTCAGTGTATTACACGACTCTCTGAAAGAGGACTTTTTCAATGTGAGAGCTAACAGTTTGTGGATGAGTGTGAGCTGCATGATAGAAGGTTTTAGTGACAGTGAGGAATGTTTTCTTCATGTTGAGATCCATGCCATTAGAAGACAAACCAATTGCACCAGCTCTTGCATTTTCTCCCCTATTTCTGGCTTGCCCTTGCAGCTTGCATTACTATTGTTTTCCTGATATATGAATTTCAAAACCAGATATATAAGGGACTAGAAGATTAAATAATCTCATCACTAGTTAATGAAGTTGGTAACAAGTAATCACCTGGGTGCTTTGGAGAGAACGTAGCTGGTGGCAGATTTGATTAGAGAGTTGAACAAGTCTCTCATACTGAGGATTGATTTGTAAGTGATGAGGAAGTTGGTAGCCTGCATTTAAGTTGATCATGTTCACTAACAGCTCAGTTTCTCCTTCCCACTTATCTCCTTCGCTTTGGCATCCCAATAACCACTTTTTCCACTACATGCATTCGAAAATATCAAAATAGTGCCAAATGAAATTACTCAATACTGTATTTTCATATTCGAAAGTTCATGAATATAATAGACAGATCACTTACTGCATCATGAAGAATATCGAAGCTAGCAGAAGGTGAGCTCTGAGAGAAGGAATGCAATGTTTCTAGTAAAGTCCCTAAAAGACCCTCCCTGCTCCTGTTTTTATTCAGCCATCTGCAATATGCATATATTATTGAGTTAAACTTTTAGTTAAAATTAAAAACCTACGAGATTTTTACTGCTCCGTCAGAAGTGTAATTACCGTTCGGTTAAGGAGCTACTGATGTTGTTGAATTCATACGCAAAGGCCTTTCTTTGGTCCTGGTCATGATATGTGGATCTGAGTGTGTGAATGAGAGCAGAAGTTTTGACCCATGCAAGTCGTTCTTGGGATCTCTCTGGTTCAAATATGTTGGCTGTAGCCAGGAAGTAAGCCAAAAGAAGCCTTTCTTTGTTCAGACCGAACATTTCTAGTCCACATTCTGAGCACCACCTGTGTAAAAATCATCATAAATTTTCGTTAATATTGCTAACTTTATGCAGCCCTGAGAGAGAGAGAAAGAGAGAGATTTAGGTCTTTCTTACTCTTGAATTCTTTTCCATTCCAGTCGGTGCAAGGCTTGGCATTTGTTATAGTCTAGTTTTCCAAGTTCAAGGTTATCGTTATTGCTGACCTTGGGCAGCCTGCAAAAAAATTAGAACCATCTTTTCCTCTCAAAATGTTCAAATTATATTTTAGATTGAGACTTTGATTAGTTACCTGTAGAGGGTCTTAGAAATCCAGACATCATCTCCTCCACCATATTGGTCCAAGTAAAACCTAGTCTCTAGCCGGGGCAAGCTTGCGTACCATGGAAAATCCAATGCATAGCTCACCTGTTATTACATAGAGAGCTTAATGAAAAAGATACAAACATTCTGTATCAATGTATTATTTTAATTGCTATGTGAAACAAATTTAATCAACAATGTTCATGACAAATTAGGTTCATTATTTATTTCAAAATAAACCTGACTAAAAAATATACCTCGCCGGGTAGATCTTTGGCTATGATCCATTTATCAAGAATCTGATTATCAGCTCGTTTTTTAGTTAAGAAATTGGTTGCAAAGTTCTTTCCTTCATCAAGAATTGTCTCTCCTGGAAATTGAACTTGAGCAGCTCTGTAAAAATTGAATATTACTGACGCTCCTTCATCTGTCTGCCCAGGGAAGCAGTAAAACTCTCCATCTTTTTGAAATGTTTTGAATACATCTATGATCAAAACCACACCGTACCAATGCCACTCATTAGCATTTTTCTTTGAAAGTAAGTTCATTCAACTATGTAAAGTGCTGTAATATGATTATATATAGATATTTATATAGAGATAAATTAAATTAATAATAATTAATGACTATAAAGTTGTAATTAATACAACACTTGGTATTATTACTTACTAGCTGAAACATCATAGCCGTTCAATCTTAGTAATCTGAACCCCATACTTGTATCGTCTAGATCTGGCAAGTCTGAATATCTTGTCCATCCAATGCCTCTCTCATTCCAATTTCTGAAAAAAGTGCATTTTTAGCATTGGTCGGAATTCTATTGTTTATTTCTTGTTTTCATTGAATTACATTAGTCTACAATAATGAGTCTTTTCCTATTAGGTGAGATCATCAGTTACATAGATCAAATGGCGCCGTTAAACTCTATGAACAACATGGATCACGTGACTGATAAGTCTCATTATTTGCATACATTTCTAGCCCTAAACTCATGCTTTTGCCATCGATATTTGCATACTTTGTGCATAATTAGCTTCCATTGTGCATAAGAGTTGGTGAGAGGAATTGTGAGGTTTTGCATGTGTTTTTACATATTTTTATATGATTTTATATGTGTGTACTTTTGATTTTATATGTGTGTACTTTTGATCCTTGCTTTGGTGTGAATTTCAGGGAGTTTCAATTCTGTCTGAGGCGCCACAGCGGATTTAGGAAGGCGCCACGGCGGATTTCCAAGGGGACTCTCGGTAAAAGGCGCCGCGGCGGATAGAAGGAGGCGCCACGGCGGATTGGCATTTACATGTAGCTCAGGTTCAATAATCCAAACGACACCGTATTGGTAATCCGCCGCGGCGGATTGACGGAGGCGCCGCGGCGGATGACGCATATCAGCAATTTGAACCAGAAACGATCTGAACCAGAAACGATCGAACAACGCGAGAGGAGGAAATTGGATGACCCGGATCAT